AATCATGATATTTCTATATATTATACCTAATAGACAAATGATTTCTAAATTTTTTTTAAAGGTTCCAAGTAGGTTTGAGATTGGTGGAGACAATAATGCTTATAATAATTTCTTATAAAGATAATTGTAGTGTTAGAAATTCATTGTAGGACCAGTTTGCATTGTCATCCAGGTAATTAACTAGTTCTAGAACATTTTAGACAAATTAAAAATTAAGAAATGTTTTCTCCACTTGCTGATGTCGTTCATGAAACTTATCGAGTGACCAAAGTAAGGTTCTTTAAACAGTCAATGTGACAAACTGGGTGAGCGCAATGTTAGTTTATGCTGAAAGAAAATATTTTTATTGATTAAGATGAATTTGCTTTCTTCTGGTATATATATATATACAGTATTAGAATTTAGATAATTATTTCAACGAATGAAAAATTCGTATTACATAAATCAGTATTTATAACTTTGATTTAAATTATTGCCATAATAAAATTTGTCAAAATTTTCTGATATCGAAATAATACCCGTAATTACTTTCCGTATAAGAAAGGAATCTGTCCACTAGCTATAATAAAATATAATCGAACTTAGGATCGATGTTTGAGTTCTGTATAACCTTATTTTTATGTTATTTGTGCTTGCGTTGATAAATAATTTTGATTATTTATCAACGCAAGCAGAATAACGAGTGATTTTTTAAATTATATACTAAGACGAAAGGAAAGTTCATTGTATTTATATTAGATAATTTTATCTTCATTTTATTTAAATAACATTCTCTTTATTCTTTTAAAACAATGGAAGAATCACTTTTCAAGAAACCACGAAATATTAAATTTGATTACTTTTTTATTTTAATGCAAAATTTTCATTTTTAGGCGAATTTGACTTTTAAAATACCTACTTAACGAGCTTATTAGTATATTCATAGGTAGACGAATTGTGTTGCTTTATTCAATAAAAAAGCAAGATGGTTATACTTTACAGAAACTTGGTTTTCTAAATACGTAGTAACTGCAAAGTGACTATATAGTAAATATATAATTACTACCTTACTTAATAGTAGCTTAATCGCAGCCTAATAGGTACTATGCAGTTACTGCATAGTAAGGAATCAAAGTTTCTGTAAAGTAGTTTAAAACTCAATTTTTAATTTATTTATGATATCACAAAAAAAACATTAAAAAAAACAAGTTTTTCTAAAGCACGATGATAAAAACGAAATCGAAATAAGAAAAAAATAAGAAGTTAAAATAAAACGAAATGTATTCGATGTAACAGACTTGTTAAAATTTAATAAAAATTATACGCTGAGCTGAGAATAAACTATTTTTTTTTCTAGTGTTGAAGATAGGATAAATTTGTTAAATTTGACAAGTGTAAATAGCGATAAAAAGAAAGAAAGAAAAATAAAAAATAAAAAAAAATAAGGGAGAAAGAACGCTAAAATAAAATTTTGAACCATACTTAGAACAAGAATACCGTTTTTAAAGAATAGATATCGAAAATAATTGACGCGTCGACAAGCTAATATTTCACTCATTTATATTTCGAGTTTCTAAACAATAATACTAAAAAATAAACAGTATAAAGGTTTTCAGAAAAAAAAAATGAAATAAAACAAAATAAAAAAGGATGTTATATTGATCCAAGAACTTTACGGATATTTGGGAAGTCGTAATTCACAAGCTTATATAATATTTTATAGTTAGGACGTTCCTAGCATAAAAATAATTTGTAATCTTATGTTGGAGGAAATTTAAAAGATAAATTTTTTGATTTCATTCATTTTTGATCTTATGTTGATGAAAGTATTTTATTTCAAACAAGATTCTTTTATAATTAAATTTTTCAGAAATTTTTTAAGCCACGAAATAACTATTAAGATTTAAACGAAACCAATATTTTGTGCCAAAAAAAAAAATTTTTACAACTATTTTTAAAATCTTTGGTAATTAATTGTGCTCGTTCAATTTAAAACTTAAAAGCGAACGAAATTCAAATCTCTTATCTCTTTCAAACTACCATTGTCTTGCAGAAACATAAAGTATAAACAAATAAGCGGACTTTAAATTGTGGAACAAATTTCAAACTTAAGTATTACAACTAAATAAGCCAAAGATTTCTTATTTGCCTGCATGTTAAAATACAAAATGACTAGGACTCGAGTCGACCGGGTTGTTTCGAATTTTTTCTCGAGTCGTGACTATCATTGTTATGACACGAGTCTTAATTCAAAAAAAGCGTCGGGTCAGGGTCACGTTTTTGCTTGACCGGGATGATCAGGCAATCTGATTTAAACAAATTCGATATAAATTGACACTCTAGATTTTTTTTTTGTTTCTACGTTACGCAATTTTAATTCGTAACAAATAAATAATGAGTGAACCTATCGACGTTACCGATAGTACAACTTCTTTTAGAAACGAAAACGAAGTGACAATTACAGTTAAAAAAAATTATCGATTATTAATACATTTTTATAAAGCAAAGTGCTCCAATAGAACGAATTTTTTTCTTGCGGAAACCGATCTGATATTAACCGAAAGATGTGGTCTTAAAGCTAATACATTAATTCAGATGATCAGCCAAATGCCTTAATTCGCGCCTGTATGTGCTTGCAATCCTAAAAAGATGTAAAAAATAAGAATTAGGATTAGTGCTTACAAAATAAAATAAAAATAAAATAAACTTTATATGACACTTTTTTTAAATATTACCTTTGAAAATTCGAGTCGAATCCGGTTAAACAATAATTGGGTCGAGTCGGATTCGAGTCGAACAATGATCGGTTCGAACGATTTCAGGTTATGTAATTATTAACGAGTTCATGTTTCGAATATGCCTTAAACCCGACCCTTATGGAGCACTAAAACGACATTTGTTATTATGCGTTCGAATTTTTTTTTTAATTTATGAAAGAATCCAAATAAAGTATGGGAATTTATAAATTAATGTACAAGCCAAATGACTGTTTTGCGAGTTTATTTACTAAATTTATTTTCGAAATTACCCGTATCTACTGTAAGTTGATCTTTTTTAGGAATTCTCATGCAACCTTTTTTATAGAAATAGTATCTCTGACATAAGTTTAAATTAATATAATTTCATAAAACATTGTTCCTCATATCTTACGTAATACAATATAAATGATCGGAGACTATGCAACTGATGATGGATGATACAAGTGAAACGTAACACTTAACGTTATTTATTACGCCAACATGATTTTGTTCAATTCCTGTTTTATAACGAACGCCAAATCACACAAGGCAACTCATAATCCGTTTATGAATCTTATGAATCACAGAATCAAAGTTTTTTTTTACACATCTCAAAATAAAAAGAGATTTATCATATTATTTAATCCGTTTTTCATACTTAGAACTAGGGATTTGAATCGATTCTAATAAAACCGAGCCGAATTAATCGAAATTCGAATCAAAATCGAGTTCAATCGATAATCGTATAAAAATCAAATCTATTTTTGGACATAAAATGACATATATAATGCTCAGCACATGGCGCATTATAATTATTTAAAAAGTGTCTAACTATATGGAGTAGAAGTTGAATTTAGATGCTTAATTACAAAATATATGAAAGAATGTAAAAATTTTGACGAATATTCATGCCCATAATTTAAATAAACAAATTATTATAAATATTTAACCATAAATTGTATAAATTGATTAGTATTATTAAAAATTATTGATTTTCGCGATAAATTATTATCATTAAGCTAGCGGTTTTACCCGGGCGTTCGCTAACGCGATGTGAAATAAATGGTGAAAACTCAATTTTCAACAACTTATTTATGTTTTTTTTTATTAATAATCCAATACTAGCTCTAATCCTTACTCTAAACTTAACTTAAATTATAAATTATTGTTTGTCGTAAAATATCCTAAAAAGAAATGCACTCCATTAAATTTCGATTAAAAAAAAGAATAAGAAGATATTATTATTAATACAAAGTCAAAGTATCTTTCTAGTGAAAAATTGTCTCAATGATTTGAACTTTACGCTCATTCAAATCAAATAACACGACCAATCAATAATTTAAAAAAATTTCTTTTTTGTTCATTAAGATGTCAATCTTGAATTATCTAACGTCTTCTTTATTTTTCCTTTTTTTTTAAAGCAATAATTTAATATAAGATTAATAGTCTATTTTATTCTTAAGTTTTACAATAAATATACATTTCAAGTTAAATTTGAAAATAATAAATAATGAAGAAAGACCTTTACAAAAACTTGGTTTTCTCAATACGCAGTAACTGCAAAGTGACTAATAGTAAATATATGGTTACTACCTTACTTAGTAGTAGAATAATCGCAGCCTAATAGGTACTATGCAGTTACTGAATAGTAATGAAACAAAGTTTTTTGTAAAGACAGTATGTCATTTACTATATCATCCGGATAATTTGAAATTTTTTACCAATCGTACAAATCGTGAAGAGAAACATGCACTTTTGGTTCTAGAATGGTTGATTTCTTAAAAAAAAAAAAATTGTTCACGAATGAGAAGCTGAGGATTAGGAAAAAATTTTTTACATCGTTTGTCTATAATTTTGTATTGCGCATAGTTTCTTTCAAAAATTAATTTATTTTATATTGAATAGCATAAATTTCTTATTGAAGTTATTATTTAGTTAATACGTTGAAAGTCGGTTGGTCAACCAAACAAATTCTTTTTTTTCCATACATTTTAATCATTCTTTCTCTCTTTTTTTTTTTTTTTTTAAAAAAAAAAGTGTATTTAATATATAAAACTAAAGTTATTGTCTCTTAAGTAAGTTAGAAATTCATAAGTCAGGTAATACATCTGTTTATGGAATAATCAATGAATAGATAACCATATAACGAAATTGTATTTAACCATATATTCTTTGGATCTTATACAGAAAAAACTTTTTGTTATTTAGTGTGTATATAGGTTCTTATTACGTATGATTTAATAAATTGGAAATTCATTTTAAACTTGTTATATCCTTGAAAAAATGTTGGCTTTTTGTATGGGTTTCACTATGCTATTACACAAAGTAATTAAGAAGCAGAATGAGAGCGCAAGCTCATCGCGCTCATTAAAGACAGCAATTGTGGTTGGTGGCGGCAGTAGACCAGACGATCAAAGGAAAGAAGGTCACACTGTTAGTGACAACGGCAACGACAACTACCAAACATTCAGGGACCGTCATTTTTGTCTGTCTTTGCACCTTGTGCTTATGTTATGTTAAGAGGCTTAAAATAATTAATGTTTGTAAAAAATTGATTGATTTTCTATTGTAGTATACTGGGTATATAGAGAATTCTCACGCGGATTGTAATTACTCTGTTTACAGTAGATGGAAATTTGTATATACTGTAATAATAAAAAGATTAATTTGCACATAATTAGTTTAAAACTTAGAATCATGATATGATCCGTAATCCTAACAGGTGACAAGAGAAAGTGAGGTTGGTCCTTAAATTTCTTTAATGTTGACCGATGGTCAGCATATAATACTTGACAAATACCTCTGGGATATACACTGCATAAGTTAAACTATTTTAAATAACTTTATTAAATCCATAAATATTTTTTTTTTTTGAAAAATCAAATGAAATAAGTCACTCATATTATAATGCTTCAGTTAAATTTCTTTCGAAGTTTTCAAATATCTTTATCATGAAACTTTTCAACGAAAAAACCTAAGGTTCGCTAATTGATAATTGGTACAATCATATCTTACATTATGCATTGCATTGTTGACAAATAAAAAAGTTTAAAATAGAAATTAAAGTTTAAAAGAATATCTATATTTTGGAGGAGGTGATGCGCCAAGTTTTGGAGACCAAGCTTATGTTGCATTAGAAACGTTAAATACTGAAAATTTGCCGAATTTCTCAATTAAAATACGAAATCTACTGAAATTCACTTTTTAAGCAATAAGAATGTGTTAATTTGTTTGCTTAATTGTGCAGTTAATAATAATTGATAGATTATTTTCAGTTTAAGTAAAATCAAGAATGTGTTTTATCATTTAAATTATTAATTTAAATAACCATATACGTTTGATTCTAAAATTTACTGTATATTTACTAAAATAATTCTAACTTATTCTAGCATTCATTACTCGATTTAAGAAATTCTTTCTCGCTTTATAATAATTCTATTATCAATTGTATTCTTGTAATTATAATATTAAAGAATCAATCAGAATTTCCATTAAAAGCACATGACATTAATATATGTGGTATTTAATAGCAAATGTCTCATATGATCAAATGATTTTTCTATATATACAGTAGATTTATATTATTATTTATATTATGTATATTACGCGTTCCAAAAGATTGTAAGCTTCTTTTTCCAGACAAAAAGACAACTTATTTCGACAAGAATAAAAATAAAAAATGCTATTAGAAGAAGCTTTATGGATATGAAAATTTTGAATAAATCAAGAAATTTCTTCTCGAATAGGATCGAAGTTCATGAGTTAAATGGTTGCTTATATTTTGACCATCAAACACAAGGTAAAATATAATTTATTAATAACAAAAAAAATACTAAACATTCTAAAATTTTTAAAGCTAATACATAAAAGATTAAATTACATTTTAATATTACAAGTTAAATATATTGTTTAAACAATATTTTTTAAAAGTTCACATCATCGTATCGGTACATAATACGCTGAAGTTAAAAATTATTGACGTCTAACATTATAGATAAATCTATATTAGTTCATATTTAAATTACAAATATAAATATCGATATGTCATATTACCTCTTAATTGTAATGAGCTAGAAATTCCTAATTCAATTAATTGAGAATCTTGTAATTCTGTTAAAGTGCATTGAAATTAATATTCGTTATCGAAATAAAAAATTTAAGAATATATTACCTTTATTATTCTCATCCATTTCAAGATATGAGGTGATAAGAGACGAATTAATAGGTTTTGTCAAATTTTTAAATGTAAATGCTCTACTTTTATATATAGCATCAGGATTCGTTTTGCGTGAAATTGAAATATTTGGTATCTCTTTATCTGCCTCTTCTAATGCTTCCTTTATTTCTTTTCCATAATATCCATATTTTTTGGTATCTTTATACATTTCATATACATCAATAGAATCATTCCAAAAATTTAATATATCAAGCAAATCATTGCTCGTTGGTCTTTGATCTGGATTTGCATCCATACATATATAAGCCAATTTCTTGTAAAATTCAGGGGTTCCTTTTCCAAATTCTGGACGAAGTCCATTACAAACATTTAAGGATAATTCAAAATCATGCTTCCTATTATAAAATGGGGTTTCCAGTTGATAATTCAGCCATAATTACACCAAAACTGTAGATATCCAGACGCTAAAGTATATAAACCACCATTCAAGACTTTTGGGTAATACTCAATATATTTTATCATCCGATTTTTGCTTATCTAAAAGTCCTGATGACCCAAAGTCTGAAATATAAACATTTTGTTTAACTTGCAAGATATTTCCACTATGAAAATCCTTATGACAATATCCTAAATCATGTAATATTTTAATATCAAACATTACATTACATAATTTTCTAATTTTATCTTTCCATAACAGGTTGTTAAAATTATTTGAAAGATAACTTCTCAAATTTCCGTCAGGTGCAAATTGTACGATCATAATAAAATCTTTGGTTTCTGGATCCTTGGTTATCCCATAAAATTTTAATGCAGAAATATATCCTTTACATAAATCCCAATGTGCTTTAAGCTAGTTTTTATAATAAAAATTTAAGAGCAAATTAGGAGATTATTCTTATTGATTCATATCAAATATATATGTAATATACCTCACTAAAATATTTAGCTGACATATCCCGTGATCCATTTAAACTTTTCAAAGCAACCTTCATAGGTTTAGGTTCAGATTTCTTCCAACTTCCATCAACTTGCTCATAGAATTCCGATTGAACCATCGATCCATGTTGCAGAATACACTTTGGCAAATCCTCCTTCACCAATTTCTTTTATATCTGTGAATCTATCAAAGGGCACCCATTCAAGAAATACTTTATTTTTTGAATAATAAATTGTATCTTTGATGAATTTATCAATATCAGAATTTCCACAAGTCCATCCTTCAATCATACACCGAGGGTCACATCCTTTACACCATAATTTCTCGGCAAATGGTTTATCGCAATAAGAACAATTCTTATCTGAGAAATTTAATTTGTTGAATTCAGATTCTATTAGGTCATGAACTTCATTTTCATGGCTATTTGCACCCATTTTTTATTTATTTATTTATTTTTTTTAAAAAATAAAATTCTGGGTAAATTTGTAAAAAATTGCTTATTTCAATAAGGATATAAAAGGAATTATCACGACCAAAATTAGATCAACGGAAAATATTTTCCGAACATTGCAGTGGTACGGTACAAATTAGACGAACACAGCGTCCCGTAAAAAATGGTAGCCGGATTTTATTAGCCGGATTTTATTTGACGGATATTTATTATTAGGGTTAGTATTATAGTTAGGGTTTTGATTAGGATTTGGATTAGGGTAGAATTAGGATTAGTTTAGGGAGTAGCTAATTGTCACTATTATATGTCACCCCTAATGAGTATATGTGACCCGGCAATTAAATCCGGCTACCATTTTACTGGCGATTGTACAAATCATATATGATAACGTGATCAGATACTACGGTAATTATATTTGTGGACCAGCATTTTAATACATTTTATATACTTTAGTTCTAAACCATAATAAACATCCTTATATTCGAAAGTTTAGTTTTCAGCCAAAAGTATAGATAAAATCAAACTGAGATTTTCTAATTAATTTATTGTCAAATTACTTTCATCGTTTGACGAAAAAAAAATATTACTTAATAAAAGTCATGGTACATTTGCATAAATGATAAAGCTGTCACTAAAATGTTTGTAAGGTCACGCACTTTAGCATTTTCGGTTCATGTCACCTGGCAGGTTCACCTTTTAAATTTTAACCAAAAATGTTTATATGTAAAAAATGTTATCACGTGACTTCGAAATACAATACGTCTTGTATTCAATTCTTTCGTTTATGTATTTATAAATAATTCTATTGTAAGCAGAGGTTTTTAAGCAATTGTATAATTATGATGTAAATGTTATTCAATAGAACAGTGTTCCCCCAATATCTACGCTCAACACTTTCGCTTATTAACTCAAATAAACACTAGGTTTGCTAAAATCGTGTTACGAACACAGTAAATCATATTTTTCGTAACGTGATTTTATTTGCAAACCACCCGACGAAGATACAGCTTAAAAATTATGAAACAAAATGGATCCTTCAAATGCTAACCAAAACTATCGGCAAAAATTATGATTTTCGGGTCGAATTAATATCCAATGCAACAATACGAATATTTATGGTATAACATTTTATTGTTTGTTCTTCTCTTTTTACTTCCAACTGATACATTTGATACATTACAGTATGTATGAAAATTGCTCTCCATTCGATTATAATTAATTACTGCTTAAAAGCCATTCGTTATGATTTACATTTAAATTTTTTATTAATAAACAATAAACCCCGGATCCCCTGGTCAATTTTAAACGAAAATGCTAATTTGCGTGGCCTAATAAAAAAAAAATAGAAGTAATAAATTATTGGATTATGTTACCATATAAAATTTTCTCCATTATATACTAACTTTACGTTATTTATATTTAAAACTAGATAAATAAATTAGATACCATCATCTCGGTACCTCTTCAGATTAGGAGCGTCAAGTTAAATTTATACAAATAGAGAATGTGATGTTTGAACTGATTATCGGTATATACCTAAATTTTTCGAGCCAGATTATGGTTCGATTTTAAAATTGGTAAAATGTTTGTAACTCGGGATAATTCAGAATATTTAGAATCAGATGTCGCTCTTTTTAAACTACATTTTATATAATCAATTACTAATATTCTATTAACAAAGTCCTATATTAAAAAATGCTACATAGAAAGCGATTTTATTAAATTATAATAAAAATTTGAAAATTAAACAAATTTCTTGATCTAAATTTTCCATACACAGTCTAGAAAATATTATGTAAATTTAGGCTATAACAATTGATCATTTACCGAGGGGGACAAAAATATTGCACGGTCAAAATTTACCCAATTTAATAAATTGTTAATATGTAACTGGCCATGTGATTTTATACCATATTTTCTATATATTTCCTAAATAGAATATTTGTTTATTGTTTTGATTTAATATGTTAAAGATTGCAAAAATCGGGTTTGAAAATCT